CCAAAAAAAAAAAACAAAAAGCTCCCAGAAAGTAGATATATTCTTTTTACTGAACAGATATATTTTGTGAACAAGAGTGTGGTGCATTAGAGATTGAGAGAGGAACAAAAAGAACAAAGTTTTCAAAGTAGAGCAAGAACGATGGATTCTGTAGAGTCATCTGAGGGAGGAACTCTAACCCCAATTTGCTGTGTGACCAAGAATAACTCATCTGATTACCCAGAGTCCTAGTTTATTTATGTATAAAATGGCAGGATGGGTTGTTGGTCTTTAAGATAGTCTCTTTTCTAGCCTTAGTAATCAGTGAGTGCAAATATAAGTTAATTGCCTTATAGTCTAGTTTTTTTTTTTTTAAATAAAATTAGAACACTGTGTCTGGAGGAAACTTGATTTAAGAAATCAAGCTTCAAAAGCGATGCATTTTAACTTAAGATTAACATATAATACATTTTTATGGTGAATTTCAGATAGTATGGAAATACATGAAAAGCAAAAATTACTTCTATTTTTCTACTCTCACTCTCTTAGAAATAACGCAATCACTGGTTTGATGTATATCCTTCTAGACTTTTTCCTATGTGTACATTATATACATATTTAAACAGAAAGCTTGTTTTTTTAGAAGTATGTTGGTGCATGTGTGTATTTTAATAAATTATTCAGTATATATTGTCTTGCAGTTTGGTTATTCAACTTAAGTTATCTTGTAGATCTTTCAGATTTTAGTTTATATACCTACCTCATTGTTTTTAATTTTCTACGATGTAAACGTATCATTGCTTACTATCCACATCCATGGACTTTAGGTCGTTTCCAATTTTGTGGCAATAGTAAACAGTGTAGTAAAAAAAACCATCACTATATAGGATAGAAACTTACTGAACCCTCACTGTATGGCAGTACTGTGTATTATTTTATCTAACAACTTCAAGCCCAAGATAAGTACTAATTAGCATGAAGAAATTACACATGAGGAAACCGGTCACAGAGCTGGCAAGTAGCAAACAGATTTACTCCAGCCATGTAACACCAGAGTTCATGCACTACTCTTCCATAGCTTTTGTTGGATTCCCAAAGAGATTCTTGCCCCTGAAAAGGTGAAGAGCCAAGATTTTAGACAGGAAGGGGTTATAGAATTTTGGAGCTGTAAGGAACGGTGAGGCTCAACTGCTACGTTCCTTTGTGTCTCCACTGCTGCTGACCTTGTAATAGATCATACAAAGGGGGAAAGTTGAGAGTGCAAGAAGGAGCATTGTGATAATGTTTATACTAATAGCAGACATACTTGTCTTGGACAAATTGAGACACACACACACCTTAACCCTATCCTAGGCCACCATCACCTTTCACATGGGTTACTACAGTAGCCTCTTGCCTGGTCTTATATTTACGCTTACTCTATTCCAGCCCAATTCCACACAGAAACGAAAATGACTTTTTCAAAACAAAAACCTGATTATGTCACTCAGTAGTTTAAACCCCTTTAGTAGCTTTGTGAAAAAAATATATTTATTTGGTCCTCCTGTGATTCATTTTAAGAATGCAGCGTGAAATAGAGTAAAGGGCACTTGAATTGTGAGTCAAGAGTCCTGTGTTTGAGTCTCAGGTATCAATACTGATTTGGTGACCTTGGGCAAGCTATTTAACTTCTCAAACTGTTTACTCAAATATAAAATATAGATAGTGTGAGGAAGGGGATATGGTAATAAATATGAAAGGTACAATATAAATGCAGGACATTGTTAATAGTTAACCTTGTGTTTGTTATGCCCTTTGAAAAATTATCCTTGTGTCTTATCACAGTATCCAGCAAGTCATGGTAGGATTTTTACAAGCTGAACCACCTTTCATATAACTATCTAAGTTTCATGTAATAAAAACCTCAGTCATTGGAGCACCTGGGTGGCTCAGTTGGTTAAGCGTCTGGCTCTTGGTTTTAGCTCAGGTCATGATCTCTGGGTCAGGAGATTGAACCCCGCATCAGGCTCCACGCTCGGCAGGGAGTCTGCTTCCCCTCTCCCTCTGCCCCCTCCACCTTTCCCCTGCTTGTGCTTGCTCGCTCTCTCGGAAATAAATATATCTTTTTAAAAAATTTAAAAAATAAGTTTAGAAAAGTTAAGTGACTTGACAAAAGTAAAAGCTGGTTACCATGCCAGTAGTAAAACTGAGTACTATAACCTTGGCATTATAGTCTGATAATCTTTCCACCAGGCTCTGTTACCTTCCCAAAATAATTAAGAAGATCATGTGTTTATAAAAATCACATAAATATTTTATGTTATTGTAATTTATTTTTTTAAAGATTTTATGTGAGATCAAGAGAGAGAGAGCACAAGCAAGGCGGAGGGGCAAAAGGAGAGGGAGAAGCAGACTCTCCGCAGAGCAGGGAGCCCGAAGCGGGGCTCAATCCCAGGATCCTGAGATCATAACCCCCAGCTGAAGGTAGACACCCAACTGGCTAAGCCACCCAGACTCCCCTCTGACTGTAATTTAAATATATAGCTCATCCTTCAGAAATTAAGAATAGTGTAGAATGGCATGTCCGTATAATTTACTGACTTCGTTAGGACCTTTGGGTTACAAGAAATGGCTTGCAAAAAGGGAATTTATTAGGTTACATAATTAGCTAGGAGGAATATTAGAGCATCTCTGAAAATTGAAGGTCCAGGACTTCAGAGATTAGAACTGGATCTCAGGGCAGTCAGAACTCTGTCACTAATGGCTCTAGGTCTTTGTCCTTATAGTTAGCAAACCAAGAAGAAGGAATGGCTACAGTTTCCTCTTTGGGAAACTTGGGAGGATTCCATTTGGCCTACCCCATATCTCACAACCACTCCTGTAGGTAGTATTAGATTAAACCATATGAAATTGCTAATAGTTAATCATATTTTTTTTACCAACTAAAAAAGCCATTTCGTATGGTTCAGCCTATTAATAGTGTAGGGTGGTAGAGGGGATAACAAGGCATCATTGATTAATGGCTCTGATGGGACTTTGAAAATGATGGAGTTCCACAAAAGAGAAGAGCTGCTGTTCTTCCCACCAGAAGGAGGAAAACAGGAAAGCATTCTGGGCAGACAAAAATAATAGTGACATAGGGATGCCTGGGTGGCTCAGTCGGTTAAGTGTCTGACTCTTGGTTTTGGCTCAGGTCATGAGCTCAGGGTCATGAGATTGAGCCCTTGTCAGGTTCCACACGCAGCATGGAGTCAGCTTGGGATTCTCCCTCTCCCTTTGCCTCCCTCACTCTCCCCCCCGCAAATAAATAAATCTTAAAAAAATAATAGTGACGTAATACAACACAAAGAGTGTGGCTCAGCTAGAGTTTAGCTGGACCACTATGGAAATGAAAAGAAAAAAAAAACCTCAAATATTAAAAATTCTGAAGTTAGAAATGGAATTGTTCTTACTAGTCCTTAAGCATCTGAGAGTTTGACAGGTCTGCCTTTCATGTAAAAAATGCACCCAAAGCTCTCAGATTATAACTTTTGTACTCTTCTGTTGTATCTTAACATTTATTGGATGTCAGACATGTCCTAGGTACCCTTCCTCATAACCTCTTTAAAGATGAAGAAATTGAGGTTCAAAAAAGTAAAATAATTTGCCTGAGATTATACAACTAATTGTTGTTAAAGTCTAAATTGAAGATAATTTTCCTTCCATACCAGTACTTCTCAAAGATTGTCCATGAAACACCTCTAAAGGCAGAAGAGAGTACATATGTATGCCTGAGAGGTTTTTAGGCATATATGATATTAAATGTGAGTATTGTGTACTGCTCCACAGTAAATGGAAATGCTGAAGGTTTTTTTTTTTCTTTTAACTCTGAGTTAAATTGTCTTTTTAAGAAGATGGATAGTACATTATCTCTATGAGAAAAATGGCACACTGTGCCTTATTGTGCAAATGACTGATCTGGTTTATATCACTCTGGTGCAAACCATTCTTATGTAAGAATCTGCATTCCCCTCTGAATTTTCCTGCTTATAGTGAATTAGCCAACAACAATTGGAATTTCTGTACTTTTGGGTTATGACTGACCCAACAAACAGTGTATTCTGAAGATACATGGCTTTGGAAGTGGTTTGTAATTGCTATGTTGTAGCTAAACTTTGTTTAGTCTTTTTGTTGTTGTTATTACATACCTAAGGCAGATAAATATTAGCTATCTACTCTATAGAAACCACACTTTTTTTTTTTTTCAAGAGGTTGGGACATCAGTGGGTAAGAAAGAACAGCAAGAATATATAGCAGTATTTTGTAGCATTTGGGGAGTATAATAGTAAAGACTGAAATAAAGAGTGCTTTTTCTGATCATTGATGCTCAATGTGAGTGGTTCCTGATCTGATACATAAAGGAAAACTGAAGTGATTTGTACTCCTTATTTTCATAGAGAAATAGGATAATGATGTGGTGATTAAAAAGGATGTTTTGGTGGGGTGCCTGGGTGACTCAGTCGGTTGAGCGTCTGACTCAGGTCATGACCTCATGGGTCTTGAGATCTAGGCCCGAGTCAGGTTGCACGCTCAGCAGGGAGTCTGCTTGAAGATTCTCTGCCTTTGCCCCACCCCTACTCCCACCCCTGCTTGCTGGTGCGCACACTCTCTCTCTCTCAAATAAATCTTTAAAAAAAAAAAAAAAAAGATGCTTTAGATAGGTTCTTGTCTTGCAAGTTTCCAGAAGTCTTCAAAGTGATATATTTAGGGAACGTTTTGATGAAAAAACCAATTAAGGCGATAGTATAATAATAGGGAAAATTTGATCATGGGGAAAATTTTCATAATTTTAATTATGTGTCAGATATATTAACTTTTACTATTTTTAATTCATTCAGATAGCTATGAAAATATTTACAGAAGTTAATCTGTGTAAAAATGGTGGTTTTAGTTTTTTCCTCAATTTTTATCATCTTTTAAAAGACCTGAATAGATCTGATTTGTTGTTAAATTCTTTCTTAAACAGTTCACTTTAAAAAATCCACATTTTCTTCATTTTATAGATGATAGTATTTCTGCTGCAAGTACATCTGATGTTCAAGATCGCCTCTCAGCTCTTGAGTTACGAGTTCAGCAACAAGAAGATGAAATCACTGTGCTAAAGGCAGCTTTGGCTGATGTTTTGAGGCGTCTTGCAATCTCTGAAGATCATGTAGCCTCAGTGAAAAAATCAGTTCCAAGTAAAGGTATTTGTTATTAAAGTAGGAAGAATCTTGCTTTTTGAAACACTTTTTTTGCAGTAATAAATAAAACTTGTCTCTTTTATCAGTGACATTGAAATTGGGAGTATAAACTATATTTCTCTTTTGGATTAACTGTGACTACAGTTTTTCATTTTCTTTTTTTTTATTCCCAAGAAATTCCGAAAGTTTACTATTTATTATTTTAAGTGGGAATTTTTTTTGTAATACCACTGATTGTACTTAAAGGCTTTCATAATAATATTTGTGTGAATTTAGTATATTCCAATTAGATAACAAATTTACCTAATGGCAGGAACTGAATCTTCTTTTTGGGTCTCCCATAGTAATTAGCATTGTATCTTGAACATAGCAGGTAGGCACTCATATGTACTTTTTGAGTCAGTCCTTTTTGAGTCAGTCAGAAATTACAAAAGTCATCAGAATTTAAATAGCCTTATTCCAAGCCTTCAGTGGTCATTGGTGAGCAGAATCCTGAAGAATTTAAACTCTGAGACTCATTACCAACCCCAGTACAATGTTAATTTTAACTTCTAGATATTGAGGGTTTTTGCAGGTTGAGAGAAAGTCGTTAGGATGCGGTTATTCTGAGTTTGGAGCAGATGTCCTGTGGCCTTTCCCTGCCTCCAACCACCTAGAAAGAATTTAAAATTCTTTCATGTTAAGCAGTTGATTCTATTATTTCATATATCTTGTGATTTTTTTCATAGATTAGGTAAACATAGGCATAATTATCCCCCATTTTGACAGTGGGAAAAGTGAGGCTATTTATGAATTCTGTTTCTGAATGTTGAGTTGTGGTATATATGGTGTGGAGATAGACACATATGGATAGCTGAATTGCAGGTCTAGTGTTCACGCTAATCTTGGCTAGCAGTAAGAATTTGGGAATATTCAGCCCTACGGGTAATAGTTGAAGCCATAGAAAGAGGATGTAAAAATGAGAATAAGGTTCCTGATTGTTGTGTTGGGAGCTCTAGTATTTCAGCAAAGAAAGAGTGATTCATGTTGCCAGATACTACGAAGAGGATGAATAAAACAGAGAGTGAGAGGTGACCATTGGATTTGGCAATTATGAGATTAGTAGAAACCTCCACAAGCAATTGTAGTGGAGTGATAGGATTGCATATCAAATTACAGTATTTTGAGAAGCAGCAGTTGAGGAGCATTGTGGAACTGTAGCCACACTTTCAAAAAATTTGCCTGGGAGGGGAAGATGGTAGTAGCTAGAGGAAGATGCTAAATTGAAGGTCAGCTTTAATTTTTATTTTTTAAGATGTTATGGACTCAAGCTCAAAGATATGTTGAGGACAAAGAGGCAGGAAAGAGGAAGATGATATTAGTGGGGGTGTCAGTGGGGAGTAGTAATTGATGAGGCAAGTTTCCTCAGAGTTTGAACAAGGATCATAGAGCAGGTAAGAAACTATTGGCCTTAGAAGACTACCTCTGAGATAGACTGGAAAGAGATAAACCTGAATGGGGCTACTAAATATTCACAGTTGTTAGGGCTGGCACTTTTCATTCCTTAGCACTCTTCCTCAGGAGACAGTGATGCTCTTTAAGAAGATAAGACTGTTCCTAGGTGGTGAAAAGGGTGAGTTGGAATGATGAGAGAATGGAAAACCGTAGACATATGAAAAAGACGCCGAGGCACCTTGAAAGCATTGAGGTGGTTCATTCTGCCTGGCTTTGTGGTTCCCATTCTTTTTCTTTCTTTTTTATTTTCTTCTTTAACTTATTTTTAATTTTTATTTTTGAAGTATATAGTTGACATATAATGCTATTAGTTTCAGGTGTACAGTATCATGATTCAACAATTCTATTTATACTCAGTGCTCCCCATGATAAGTGTTGTCACTGTCTGTTACCATACATTATTATATTAGTGACAATATTCCCTGTGCTGTACTTTGAGTAAATGAATGGATAAAGAGACTGTGGTATAGATATACGACATGATTCCCATTCTTAGACCTCCCACCCTCAAAGAGGCTTGGCCTGGGTAGTTAATAATGGAGAGTTAGAGAGGTGGCTGGATTGATCTTCTCCATTAGTGGTTAGTAAGGTAAATGTGTCAGTGACAGGGGTAAGTTTAGCAAAAGACTTAATAGAAACCACTTTCACTGACAATGTTATATTGCAATCTTTAAATTTATTTGAGGACTGCCAAGATCAAGCCAGGCAAAACTTTATTTAGTTATAAATTGATTTTAATAAAGGATTCTGGAGTTGTTAGAGCAGAATGAGGAGCCAGATCAGTTGATGTATGTGGATTTTACAGGGAAGGTAAACTTATTGTAGAGAAAGAACATGCTTACCATCTATAACTGATGTTATGTACCCTCAGCTTCTGACTCTGTATAAGTACTTTAATTCTGAAAGAGAAAATGATGCAGTGTTTGCTTATTATCCACAATATTTTTGAAAGCTTATTTTAAATAGTTCATATTAGTTTAAAAAATTAAGAATTTTTTACTAGGCTTAAACAACAGCACGTTGTAATTTTATGTTGAGAAAAATTTAAACATTTTTTCTGATTTTTTTTATTTACGAAGGTATTTCAGTAAAAAAATATTTATAGAGAAATTTAAAAACCGCTTTTAAAAATTTTGGTAGGTGACGGTAGTTTGATACACCAGTTACTTAGCACTTACCTGTTTCGGTGTCATAAAATACAAATACAATTAAATATCTGTAGTTCCTATTCTCCAGGAACATACTTTTTGTAAGTTACTTTTTCTAGTATTTTTTTTAGTTGTCCTTAGTCGTATTCTTTGTCTCTGAAGTGAATTTAGGATCAGTTTTATTTAAGGCTCTTTAATCGAGACTTACCCAGTTCTGGAGTTACAGAGCCACCTGTAGCTGCTGTATTGGAACTTTTTTCCACCACATACTACCAATTCTTAGTTCTTATTAATAACTTTATTAATTAGATACCGAGCTCCTTTCCATTGATTCTACTTCATAAGTTTACTATGACTGCTATTCTTAAAATGTGCCAACATGGTTACATTCTGACATGGGGTCCATTAGTAATTATTCTTTAAGTTACTTCATTACTTTAGGCCCAGACTTTGAAATGCTATCCATAAAATCGATTAATGGGGGAGTTAATTATATAATAATTTGGGGAAATATTATTTTAGAGGTGAGCATAATTCATTGTTAAGAATTAATTACTCTAGTTCCCTTTAGTGGAGAAATTTTCCTGACCAGTTACGTTTTCCAAGATTGATTTTTTTTTTTTTAAAGATTTTATTTATTTGACGGAGAGAGAGCGAGAGCAGGAACACAAGCCAGGGGAGTGGGAGAGGGAGAACCAGGCTTCCTGCCGAGCAGGGAGCCCAATGTGGGGCTTGATCATGACCTGAGCTGAAGGCAGACTTTTAACGACTGAGCCACCCAGGCGCCCCCCCCGCCAGATTGATATTTAGACATCAAGAGAAATACATATTTAAAGTTTTATAATTTATTATTGGAAATTCTAAACAGCTTTATCTTGGAGTTTATATATAGTACACACTAGAAATAATTGGAAAAAATATTAGGTGATTCTTCACCTTTGACAAATGTATATAACCTAATAGATCAACTATCAGTTTGTTTGTTTTTTTTATTTTAGAGAGAGACAGAGAGCAGGGTGAGGAACAGAGGGAGAGGGACAAGCTCAGACTCCATGCTGAGCACAGAGCCTGATGTGGGACTCGATCCCACAACCCTGAGATCATGACATGATCAAGAGTCAGACAGTTAACTGACTGAGCCACCAAGGTGGCCCAATCAACTGTCAGTTTTGATATTAAACAGGATTAATATATTAATTATACAAATATTTGGAATAAACATTTTAGGCAAAGTATTTTCTAATGAAGATTTTTTTATAAAATATTTTTAAAAATTTAAATTATTTTGTGGGTATTTTGTATTTTTTTCTATTGAAAAGGTAATTTCCCATACTGTGGAAAATTTTTATCTTATGTGAATTTTTTTAGTCCTCTGTGAAATTAGAATTTATCAAAATCACTTTCACGTAAATTACTGACAGGACAATAATCACTAGCTTATAGCTACATTTTCTAGAGGATTTTTCTTTAGAAGTAAGGCTAAACCCCATGGATAAATAAGTGTGAAACCTTTTTACGAAGCTGTGGTTAAAAGTGTAGTCAGCTTCCTTATTGATAAAGTCAACTAGTTTTGTAGATGGTGGTGATATGGAGGGCATGATTTGACTTTAGGTGTGACTAAAACTGTTAATGGTGTGTATGCTGATGGCTTAATGACATTCTACTGTGTCACTTCATAGTAGTATTGCCATTCAGTAAATGCCAAAATCAGAAATACATCTAACTAGTCATTTCAGTATTTTTAGTTCTCTTCTTTTAGTTTATCCTCTCCCGTGTGCCAGCAGTATTAAAAGCTAAGCCCTATTTTTTCTTGAGTATATTATGCTAGACGCTTATCTGAGGTAGAAAGTTTTCCTAACAGTTTTTAAGGTAGCCAGTCATTTAAGTCTCTCATATACCTTCTTTTGTATTGGAGAATTTTTCCTTTTGACGGCCTGTGTTCATAATATATGCAGCAGTTACAACTGAGTTCCTGCCAAAAGAAAAAAAAAATACCTGTACTTTGGAACAAATGGGAAGACCCAGGGAACACTTTGGCAGTATTAACTGCCAGGAAGACAAATTTTGTCACAGCTGGTGCCTGGGAAACCCATTAAGACCTCTTGGGGTGACCAAATGAATGTAATTTGAGAATACAGCCCAGTGGCATTATGTGAAGACAGGCTGTTAGTATACAATGGTAGACAAGCTGTTAGTATACAATGGTATACAAGCAAAAGAGTCAAATTTATCTGAAGGTGGGAATCACTCATTTTAAACCAGGAAACTGCTGGTAAATCAAAAGTATCAAGCATTGCAAATGCCACTTGAGAAATGAGAGAACCCAGAGGCAAAATTGAGATGTAGAGGATGTCAGTTTTC